GGGGGGCTCCCCCCCGCATTGCCCCTCGGCATGCTTCGGAAACAGTGAAAAACCTAACACAGAGCAGATTAATCCTCAAACGACACTGGCAGAGCTATGATGTCCCGGTGCTGGTGGTGGGACCAGCCATTGGGGAAGCATCGTCTTGTGCTCAGCCCATCCTGGGGCATCCTCTGCCACCTGGTACCAGCAGAGATGGGGACGGGGCAGGAGGCACTGCCCAGCTCTGTCCAAGCCACCGGGGTGCTGGCTGCTTCACCATGACCCTGGGGTCACTTCCCGGGGTGCATGCTGCTTATCCCAGGACAGAAATCAGGCTGAAGCACCCCACCGCAGGCCAGTGTGCCACCCAAGGATGCAAAGCATCCAAAAACTGGTTTACCTCCTGTCATTCTGCTCCATGGGGCACTGGAGTGTGTCTGACACTTCCACGTGGGCCACTGAGGTGCTGGAGAGCTTTGGGTGTCAGGAAAGAGATTCCCCTGGTGCTCCTTGTCTTTGTTTCCCCATACTGGATGTCAATGTGATGGGGAAAGGGGCCATCAGGCAGCAATGCCAGTCTCTGATGGGATGGGCCACACTTTGGGAGGCCTCGAAATACCTGAAAAGCTCTGGGGTTTTGGAGGGGGGGAAAAAAGCAGTTCTTAAAAAAAAGAAACAAACTAAAAGAGAGCATTAGCCAAAGCGTGTTTATAAGGAAAAGCCTTTTCCCTGCAGTGGCGGGGGGGGGGGGGGGGAACGTGCTCCCAATGCCCCAGCCAGCCTGGCAGAGGGGTTTCCATCTGTCCCCCCCACAGAGCTGAACTGGCAGCAGGGAGAGAGGCGAGAGGGGGGAGAGCAGCTGCGCAGGGTGACAGGCAATGCTGTAGGCTCTCCTACCACCCATGGGCACCCTGGAAAGCCTCCGTCCACTTGGAGGTGTCCAGGAAGATGGAGGAGGAGCTGTGGAAGAGCCAGAGGCAGGGCAGGGAGCCCTCCCGTGTCCAGAGGTCCTTGGCGCAGTCATACACCTCCATCTCTACCCGGTAGTCCCCGTCCATGCCCTTCCAGTGGCCACCGGTGACAAAGAGCTGGTCACCCAGCGGTACCATCCCGCCGTTCTCATGAAGTGTGTGCAGGAGCTGCACCTGCGTGAGGGGTAGGGTGAGATGTGCGGGGACCCCCCCAGGGACCTCCCGCTCCCACCACAGAGGACGTTGACCCACCAAGTGCGTCCCCCTGGCCATCCTCTCTGCAAGGTTTGGGGGCCCCTGGGGCTGTGTCTTGCTTTTAGCAGCATCCCCACATTGTGCTTGTATGGGAGCAAGGTTGGGGATGCTGTGGGGAGTGGCGGGGTCTGGATGGTGGAGGGGACAGGCAGGATTTTGCTGGACTGTGCACGCAGGAGCCCGGCACACCGCTCCAGAGGGTGGTGCTGGAACAAGGGGGGTCCTGTGGGCTTCTGCAGCATGAACGCTGTAAGTAATCGTGGTGCAAAAGCTGTGTTCCTAGTGAGGGTGTGATGGGGAGCAGGGAAGAAAGGATTGGGGCAGCTTCAGCCCTGCAGGAGTTAATAGAGCCAAGGGATGAGTGGGCAGGAGGGAGAGGGGGTGCTGGCACCTGGGGGCAACAGGTGCAGGGGTATGGTTGTAGGCTGCTGATGGGGAGGGAACAGCTCCCCCAACTCCCTGAGAGGGTGATTGTGCCCAGCCCCGCATCCCGCTACCTTCTGCCAGATGTTGGCCTCTGGGTTGTACACGTAGACCTTCTTGGTGTTGTCCCCAATGAGGTAGATGAGCCCACGCAGCGTGGCACAGCGTGGGGCCGAGAGGTACTTGGGGATGAAGGGGGAAGTGATCACACTCCACAAATCTGCAAGGAGCAGCCGTCAGCAGCACGTCCCAACCTTGGCTCTGGATGCAGCTGCCAGCGACCGAAAAAAGCATTGCCGAGCTTGCAGCTATTTAAAGGGGGAGTTTGAAAGAGAGGGGACAGAGCAGCCAGGCAGGATGGCACCCGCAGACCCCATCCCAGACGAGGCTCTTGCATAAAACAAAGTGGGGATATTGTTTGTAGTGGTGGTGTGAGATGGGGAGACCACTGTGGACTGTGCAGAGGCTGTTCGAGGAGGTAGCGTTGTCACAGGGGTTTAGTTCCTCCCTAAGGCAGGCAGCCTCCCCCGCCCCTCTGCCCCGGGGATCCCACTCCACTGAAGCTCAGGTCCCGGCTGTGCTGGAGGTCTGCGATTCAAGTCCGTGCTGCTGGCAGCCATGATACTGGCTGGCCCCTGGCCCCTGGCCCCATGCCACAGCCATCGCCAGACCCCGTTAGCACCTGGTCGCATCCCACGGGACCATGCCTGGCGGCATAGGGTGTCGCCTGCCTGGGGGTCCCACTTAGTCCTGCTCCGTGGGAAGGCGGTGGTGGGGTGCAGCGGTGGGTCCAGCTCTCACCTTGGACAGGGTTGTAGCACTGCAGGGTGAGCGCGTTGTACTTGACAGCGCAGGAGCCCACCAGGTAGAGCTTGCCCAAGCAGCTGGCGGCCGCAAAATTGCTCACGTACTTGAGGGCTGGGCTGATGGCACACCAGCTCTTGTTGTAGGGGTCGTAGCGTTCCACCTCCACTGCATCTACCGTCGTCCCTGCAGGGCAGTAGGATGCTGCAGCCACTGAACTGCTCCAGGGCACCCATGGACCCCTGGCCCAACAGCACCCTTGGAGTCTTCATGGCCTTACCCCCAATGACGTAGATCTCACCATTGAGGATGGCGCTGGTGTGGTTTGTCCGGGCTTTCAGCATGGAAGCGATGCGCTTCCACGCACCATCCCTTGGGCAGAAGCACCAGGCCTGGGTCGTTGACCACGTGTCGTTCTGGGACCCCCGGGAGCCGCCTGGGGAGGGATGGGTCAGGCGGGCCAACCCCTCTGAGCACAGCCATCCCTGGGCATCCCTTGCCAGAGGCCGGATCCGCCCAAGAGGGGAGCAAGGAGAGGGCTTTGCCTGGGGAGGAGGGTAGCCCCCGGCCCCACGCCAGCACCCCGTGCCCACATCTTTGTCCCCCATCCTCCATCCCCGCTCCTTGGGGACCCCCAACCTGCACCGGGAGCCCCGGCACCTACCTGTGACGTACACATCGTTGTTCAGAGCCACCAGGGAAAAGCCCCATTTGTTGTAATCAGGGAAGTCGGGCAGAGCCATCCATTGCCCTGAAACCCAGCAGAGCCAAGTGATGACCCCCCCCCCAGACAGTGATGATGCTTTTAAGCCAGCCCTGTTTCATGCTTCCCTCCCCTGTCCTCCCCCCAGTGCCCCTCCTGACACTAGATCATTTGGCAAGAGGTGGCTTTGGGGTAGACGGACAGTTAATTAACATGCGGGGGGGGGGTGTATGTGCTTGCCCCATCCCTGCTGTGGGCGCTTACTGCTTTTGGGGTTGTAGAAAGCGAAGTTCCTGGGGGTGGACGGCATCTCCAGCCCCCTGTCCTCATCCTCGCCCTCCTCCAGCACACGGCCGCCAACCACCACCAGCACCTCCTCCAGCTTCTGCGGTGGCGTCAGGGAGTTCTTCTGGGCACTGGCATCGCTCTGCCCCTGACAGAGGCCGGGGCAGGACCATTAGGCTCTGAGCTGAGCCTCCCCCCCCCGGCTCAGGGCGTGGGATTTGGGGCAGGGGGTACACACCATGGCACGGGATCGGGCAACTAGGGCCTTGCTGGCATCTGAGTCACGGACGAGGGGCTCAGTGGCAAGCAGGTTCTGCAGGTACTGGTCAGGCAGCGAGACGAGGTGGGCCAGCTCCAGCAGCTCGGGCAGGAACTGGGCTCGGGGCCCCGGGTCGTGGCGTACCCAGCGCAGCACAGCCTCGGCCAGGCTCTGCTCCTCCTGCACCTGCAGCTGGTCGTTGGAGAGGTAGGTGGCCAACCTCTCCTTGGAGAGTTGGAGGAACTCCTCCTGCAGAGAGACGGCTTCAAAGTTCTCCTGCAAGAAAGACCAGGCCTTGGAGGAGACCTCGGGGCAGCCGTGGCTCTCACCGAACTCGCAGATACCTAGGCAGTTGGTGGCATCCATCTGCTGCCGGAGGTAGCGGCTGCAGACCTTCTGGATAGTGGGGAAGTGGAGCTGGCTGGAGGTCCGCATCAGCCCCTCCACGTTGCCCTGGTTGATGGTGACCTTCCCGGTGTAGGCGAAGTCGAGCAGCATCTCCAGCGCGCCGGGGTCCACCTCCTTCAGCTCCACCCGTGCGGCGATGCTCTCGGCGAAGTCGCCGGAGAACATGGCGTGGAAGTAGTGGCTGCAGAGGGCCAGGACGCCGCGGTGGCAGGGGAACTCCCGCCCGCCTGCCACCAGCGTCACATCCGCCAGTTTGGGGTTGGTGCGCAGCCGCTGCAGGCCCTCCAGCACACCCTGGGCGTGCGAAGGCAGGCAGAAGTCAAAGTCATCCACGTTCCTCACCATGGTGCTGGGGATGGCTGCGGGGCCTTGCCAGCAGACAGAGCCCGAGCGGAGTGCGGTAAGGGTGTCCCTGCCAGGAAAAGCCAATGACATCTCCCTCTATCCCCCCTCCCCTGGCACAACCGCCCCTTCCCAGCACCTGATTTACAGGCACCAGCAGGGACAGGAGAAGCACTCCCTGGAGCCCCCCCACTCCCACTTCCACAGGTGGCCATGATTTCTTCTCCCCACGCTCTGAGCTGCCCTGCCGGGTCTGCCACCGATTTTTCGGGGGTGGGGGTGGTTTTGGGGCTGGGTTGAGCCCCGCTCCGGCTTGCTCCCTCCCGCTCTCACCTGGGCTTTGCAGACCTGCGGCTGGCCCGCCGGGAGGGAAGTGGCCGCCGTCCCGGCACCGGGGAGGGACACTCCGGCGTGACACGGGATCCAGCCGAGACGGGGGAACACGCTATTTTTAGGCGGCATCGGGACACCGCTCCCTGCTCTTAAAGGCACCGTACAGGCAGAGCTGCCCGCTGCTGCCCATCCCCGTCGCCCCGCGGCTTTGCTGCTTTTTGGAAAGCATCCCTCAGCGGCCAGCCGGGCACCGCAAGCCTGGGGGGAAAAGGCTCCCCCCACCATCCCGCCCCGCCCCACCTCCCCCAGCCCCATCGGTCGCAGGGGGTCCCCGTGACGTCCCTCCTCCCCCCCGGCTGTGGCCGCCGAGGCCGGCTGTTAAATATAGGACGTTATCTCACTCCTCGGCGGCCACAAATAAACGGCGGCAGCCGCCTTGCTGCGGGCGGCCGGGGGTCAAGACACCGATCCC